ATAATCGTAAAAAGTGAAGTCAATAATAAGACTGGTTATTCGATGATTGTTTTATGTTCTTAACAAGACACATCAGCCGTAACGTAATATACATTTAATTTTTTCATACAGATTTAGGTAAAACTTTATCTTAACAAAACAAACTTTTGAAAAATACATCCTAAATATCTTAAACGAATACCTAACATTATATGGAAAGAAAGACATGATATTGTATTGTACAACTATCATTAACAAATTGTGTACAGAGTAAGCAGGCATATATTTTCTGTACTCTCAATATTATCTATACAATACTGTATTATACAATTTCCTCGCAGTCAAATTCTGTATATACTCATTATTTTATTTTTTGTCATGCAAGTGGATACGAATGATACTGTTGCCTAAAAACGTAGTTATTTTGTACTTTTCAACTAAAATCTGATAGATAATCACCTCATTTTTACCATTTCGTATTGTAATTATAAAACAAAACAATTGTCAATATTACACTCATTTTAGAATAGAGTTTTGTTTGTGTAAAATGATGAAACGACGTCTATCTAATGATACATCTCAAGAAACGAAAATTTTAAAGCTTGATCAGGTAATTTGTTATCTCTTGATTATTATTACTACTACTTGTAGCTTTTTCTAGACGACAGCAAAGAATGATGAACGACTTGAACTATTTAAAAAGTGGCTTGATGAAAATAATGTTATTTATCAAAATGTTGATATTTGTCAATCATCATTTGGTTATTCATTACGTTCGAAAATTGAAATAGCATCCCATACACACGTCATTCAAATTCCAAAACATGTTCTGATGTACGCTGATTGTCATTTTCAGCAAGAAACTTCAATTTTATTTCGAGATGTGGAAAATTTAATTTATGATCAAATTGATAAAGAAACATTTTATCTTACACTCTTTTTGCTAGAAGAACGATTAAAAGGCAATGAATCATTTTGGTATCCTTACTTGAATTTACTACCAAAACATTTTACAACACCGTTATTTTTTACTGATGAACAATTAGACAATTATTTAGAATTGACGTCTCCTTATCATATGGCACGAACAATGAAAGAATCGATGAAAGATGTTTATGAATTAATTCCAGCAGCAAAATTTAATTTACATGATTTTCTTTGGGCCTATACAGTTATTAGTAGTAGAGCATTTAAATTAAAATTAGGTAAGCAAACCATATTATCATTCCGAAATGTAGTGACCATGCATTCTTTTTTAAATATTATCGATAGACGAGACCTACATTTTTCATCATTGTGTAGCAAAGGTCTAGACGCATAAATGTAAGAAAAAAAATTACAGCCACTTTCAAAAGTTTTATTATTTTTTAACAAAAGACTTCTTACTGAAAATTTTTGTACTGACTGCTCTTCCTGGATATGTGGCCGCCAACTACAGTGAAAGTTTTAGCTCAACATTCGAACATCGATTAAATATTATTCGCTGTAGAGTGATTAGACTTGTGAAAGGCTGCTTTGATTAATGGAAAAAAATTTAGTTAAACGTTATGATAAAATTGCTGCTGTTAACTACGATTTTATATTTTACTCTGTATCTGTAAAATTCTTGTTTTTATGATAAGGACGGCATTTGTATATCTGCATCACAAACGATAATTGTTCAATGTGCAAGCAAGTTCAAATCCGACTTGCTAGACCTCACTGTGAAATAAAGATCTAATATTTTGTTTATTTTTCTCAATGAAAGCTACAATTCATGAGCGAAATAAGCATTCATATAGAACATAGAAAGGTGAACATCTGTTCTGCTCAGTTAAAAAGTCCCTTTTCAAGGAAAATATAAAGAGAAAGCTAGATTTTTTGCTGAATGTATCTAGTCTCAACAATATACTTTTAGACATGTGCATGTTACTACACTAAAATGTGCCTTGGATTCACTATTTATGTAGAACTTTTTACTGCTGGAAAGATTTTTTTTCTCCAAATATTCAATTAAAATTTTCTTTACAAAGGAAAACTCACCGTTGCAAATTATACGCCTAAGTAAGTTTAAAAGAATATATTCTTACAGAGAAGAGTCTACTGTGATGTATATAGATAGAATGAAAAGAAATACTTAATGTAG